TTGTGCAGAGAGGAACTCTCATACCTTAAAGGCCAGGGCTGCGTTTGACAGCTTTTGTAGCCATCCTCTGTCTCTGCCCTTTGGACTCTCCTCCCATTTCAGGTCATCAGACCTTTGTGACAAGGTCATGGACAGCAATAAATGATTAGGAACGATTCAAGGCTGGTGTGGACTCCAAAGGCTGGTGTGGCTATGGGTGAGTCAAGAAAGGTCACCTTCTCACACGCCACTCTAAGGTTGTTTGCTCAATGCCACCTTCTTCCATCAGGAAGACACCAGCTTTGTGGCACTTCTTGCCACCAGCCCACCATGCCCAAGGTCTGATGAGAAAATGCAGGGAAAATCTGTGAAGAAAATGCACCCACAGAGGGGATGCTCAGAAACACTGCTGACTCCACATGGGAGGGTTGTGCCTATCAAGAGAGCACTGAAAGAACACTTATCCATCACGGCCACTGGAGGCTAACAGAGGTGTCACAAACTGATGTAATTTAGCAATTTTTAAAAGCATTTCTTTCCCTAATGAAACTGCAGCAAATAGTACAGTGAAGATAACTTAGAGGAAAGATTAATATGAGAAATCAGTGTTTTTACAGTACCTGGGGTTTGGGTTTTGCTATTTCTTTTCAATAGTCAAAGCCAGCTAGGATGCCTGAGAAAAATTACTTTTCCTTAATAAAAACTTGCATTTTTTTTGGAAGATAAGCAGCCAGCAGAAAATGTTTCCTCATCTCTCTATATAACTTTATCCTAAACCTTTATTCAGTAGCATCTTTCCACATTCACCCAGGATTAAAGACAGCGTCAGGAGAAGAAATACCCAGGTACGTCCATAAAAAAGAGCCATTTCGGCAGGAGTGAACCAGAGTGTTCTGTTCCGGACAGATCCACACAGTCCTTTATAGAATGGTCCATGCAGAGTAAGCAGGGAATTTATTGCCTACAGGAATTAATATTTAACTTCCCAATATGGTTGTGATTTGCCTTTGATTTTGCCTACGATTGGGGAAGGGAAGGGAAGGGAAGCTGTGTCCTGAGGAAAACATTTGTACTTTCTGTTAATATTTAAGCTTCAAAGTCTGTCAGCACTAAGCCCTACCAGCACTAAATCTATGACACCAAGAGCAGGGGTGTCATGTTGTACAAATCATCGTCGTTAAAACCACTGACCTGGTAAATACACAGCGAGAAAATAATAAAAATACACCCAGCAGAATGGATGCAACTCCGTTCCTGAGGTCATGAGGCTGATGTTGAATTATCATCTCCTGGAAGCAGCCAAACCTGCACCTCTTACAAAGATGTCACAGCCATCACCATGTACCAGACAATCCCAAATCTGAGGAGAACAATCCCGATTGGCTTTTTCCCTCTTGGCATTGCACCAAAACAGTGAACTAATGGATGAGATCAGGGACAAAAAAGGGAGAGGAGGCCAGCACTGGGACACAAAGAAGGAGTTTTGGGCTATGGTTGCTGTCTAGAAAATCTCTTTCACACATTGTGAGCAAGACAAAATCCAGGAGAAGGTGTGACACTTTCCACTAATCCCACTGCAGGAATATTTTGTCTTTGTGCAAGGAAAAGCAATGTCACAGCAAAACCTTCTGGATGGTGCTAAGGAAGAAGTCCTTGTGATGAAAAACTATTATCAACACAAAGTTTTTCGGTTCTGGTCAAAATTGTGATGGAACTCCCAGCATCCTCAGTCAGGAGAAACAAATCCTTACAGCCTGAGGCAAAGGCTTTTGTCTCATGACACCCAAAGGCGATTGAGACTGCCCTGAGTAGCTCCACTCTGTCACACTGGACATGGAGGAACCACCCTTAGACATGGAAAACCATTTCTGGAGTGGACCAATGCAGGAGAGGTGGCAGACAGCACAGACTGAAAGCTGGAGACTGAACAGATTCCCAGATAATTCTCATGAAATGGAGGAAGTCTGGACACAAAGTATTTATTGCAAGTGCTGTGACAAGAGCTGACCAAATGAGCTTGGAAGTTGCTGCCTGGTGTGTTTTCTACTCTGGACTCGATCGGATTTTTAATGGCAAAACCAGTTTGGCTGAAAACTGCCAATACAAGTAGATTTTTCTTGACTAGAACAGAAAAAGTGTCTTGATAGGATGGCCACATTTTCTTATGGACTCCACAGACTCCCTACTTTTTGTACCAGACCAGCAGAGCGGTAACTGTGGCAAAAGTGGAGCAACAACATGAAGGGCAAGAGAAATTACAGATAAAGGGAGAACAGAGAGAGAACGGAAGATGTTCTTACATCATACACAGGATCATTTGAGGTCAAATCTAAGCTGGGAAGTCAAAGTGAAATAGGAGAAATTCCACTGCTCTCTGTACAAAAGGTATCTAGAAAAGTCATGAAGAATGGAAAGACACAGAAGATTTTTCCAGGTGTGGAATGTGATTTTCTCCTAATAGGATTGTGGAGACAGGAGCTGTCAGGGATGAGGGCAGGATGCCTCGGCCCTTGTAGCCAAGTTACAAACTCTTTACAGCTCTGAGACCTTCAGGATACAAAAGCAAAGACTTATGTTGTATAACCAGCAAGAATTAGCCTCTTAAATCTCAAACTAGTGCAAATCTTGTGAGCCCTAACATGAACGAATGCCTTAGATCTACTTTTATCCTAATATTCTAGTTAATAGCTTTTTTTTTGCCTTGTTTATCAGGTTTAGAAGGCTCTTCATAAAGCCTGTCAAAGAATATAAAAGAAATTTAAAAGAAAAAAAAAAAACAAACACCACTTCAGCTCAAAAATATTGTGTGACCACAATTCACAAGTGTGGAAGCAATTTCCTAGAAAAAAGACTTGTGTCCTGCTTTGTGCCTGGAAAGAAATGTCCAGTGCTGCCATTTTAGAGATTACATGGTGACCATGTAAATAGATTCACATTTTGAGATTACCTTTAACAACCCTGCAGATTTCTGGTAAAAGCAGATGTCAAGGAGTAGTTCTGAAAACTTATCTGAGTTCTGCATTCAAGTGTCTTTCACCAAATTCATGATTATAAGATTATTTCTTGCCATTTCAATGTGACATTTATATTTCACCCCCACAAACAGGAGTAACTTAACACATACAGCCAGTTTAGAAATAATTTGTTATACAAATTCAAGTAAAGTGAAGAAACTGATGCTGATGATCCTGGAGTTAAAAACAAAAGACGACTCTTGGGTTTGTGATCAGACAAAAGAAATACATGTCAGACACCATTAAAATGATATCAAAATTTGACCTGGTTGGTGGATAACACATAGTCAGCAAGGACAGTACTTTACATCTGGTAGATGAAATTCCATTTTTGTTTGGTTTGTTACAAAACCCTGATTGATTCAAAGAAGTCTCTCTCAAGGTTATTTGATTTCAGCATGTGGAAAACAACTACCCAAACCTGGTCAAATTAAATCATTACACACACACACACACACACACAAAAAAACCCCAATACTGATAAACCTCCTGCAACAACGTAATGACTTTTCATTGGCAAAAGTGCAAAAGTAGAATTGGAAGGACAAGGAATCTTACCTTAGGCAGTGGTTTCTTCTTAGCACAGTTGATCCCCCCAACAAAGACCATGTTGGGCATCACTGGCCTGACGTACTCAAACA